GCAGAAACAAATGGAGACCAATAGAAAGAAAGACAATGAAGATTTCATGGCAAAATTAGACGCCAACCAAGAAAAAGTGGACGCCAATAGAAAAGCCTTCGAAGCAAGGACAGCCGCCATGCGAGCCAAGAGGTTGAAAGCCAATATGAATGCCTGGCAGGAAGAGACGACAGCCTGCCAAGATGCAATGGAGGCAAATCTAGAGAATTTGGAGACAAATCCAAGCAAAGAAGAGGATGTAGTGATGTGACAGAAGATTCCTAATGAAGAGGAAGAGACTATGGCCTGCCAAGAGATGAAGGCACATCTACAAGAAGAAAAGCCGGCCTCAGTAGACACGAAACCTGCGGCAGCACAACAAGAAGAGGTCCCCATAGTGATACTGGTCGGAGTGACGATGGCCTGCCGAGAAATGGAGGCATGTCCAGAAGAAGAGACAGCCTCAGTGGACAGGAAACCTGAGGTGGAAGAACAATGACAGGCACCCATCGAAGAAGCTGAAGTAATGCTGGTCGGAAGAAGAAAAGGCATAGGGACTGAAATCAGCGAAATATGAAGAATTCGACACAGGAAAATTGTGGACCCCAGAAGAAGTTGGCCATAGCCCACAGTGGGATGAGCTGCCGTGTGGAAGTGGCATGACAGAAGAAAACCAGCAGGAAGGTGTCCTGCCATGCAACAGTGGCATGGCGTAGCAGGAACATCTTCAGGAACACCACCCAGAAAAATTGTGGACCCCACAAGAGATTGGGATTCAGCAGTAAGGGAACGACCCGCCATGCGAAAGTGGAATGGCAGAAGGAAAACATCATTGGGAGAAACCACACCAGGGCCATGATTCAGCGAGCAACCCAGAGAGTAGGGCCACTCCAGAAAAATTTACAGACGCACCATGAAGGAACAAAGGATCAACGCAGCAAGGGGCTGCTACACAGGAGGAAGAAGAGGACAACCATGGACGGCATCCGGAAGTGGAGCCCAGGACAGCAAGCTCTTCTGGGAAGTGAAGGAACACTAACGACAATCTTATATGAGACCTATGGTCCTAAAAACCCTAAACGAATGCCCAAGAATTCCAGCAGGACGTGGAGAATCATGGATTGGACTTCATGGAGGGGACGATCCCCTCCAAAACAGAAAAAGAGACTTAAAGCAGAGGAGGAGCTGGTAAATTAGAAACACCGGCACCCCAAGAGAGAGTGAATGGGCAAGAGAGAAAGTGAAGGATGAATGTGATACAACTGGATCTTCTGGCAAGTCAACAGGAAACCGCTCGAGATGAGCTGGTCTTAAGAGGAGAGCGGATGTAAGGGACGGAGAATAATTGCTGCAAGAGGAGTAACCGAAACAGGAGACACTGCAAGCACAGCAATGGGAAGAAAAAGGAACGGGGATGTACTGTTAGGCTGTTCGAGATGAACAACCTTTAGAAGGGAGCAGTGTGACATATTTTCACTATGCAGGACATGCCCTCCCCAGCCAGTGGTGACGTAACACATTCGGAGAGTTGCCGTTGCTACGGTAATAGGCCAGTCAACACCCCACCCACTCCCGTGGTGATGTGACCAAGGGATGTCGCAGTTACTATTCAGCAGTAAACAACTCCCGATAGTGTTGCTAGGCTATCGGCAAACACGGCGTCAGACAACAGCGGTACCTATCATGTAACTGTTTTCTGTCTTATCCGTGCCGAGGCTAAATAAGGAGCAGCGAACACTATTCACAGTTAGTTATGAGTTAGCCAGGGAGTGAGTAGTCAGTCAGTTAGTAGTGAGTGATTAGACAGTGAGTGTTGAGCCAGTTACTAGTAAGTCACTAGAGAAGCCGGTCACGGTAGCCGAGCGGTCTAAGGCATGCATTGTCTTCGCTCGCTCGAAAGCCGGGATCATGGGTTCGAATCCCACTGAGGGCATGGATGTTTGTGTGCGTTTTTCTGTGTTTGTCTACAGGTAGAGGCCTTGTGATGAGCTGATCACTTGCCCAAGGAGTCCTACCAAATGTGTAAGATGTAGAAAATCCGAAGTGAATGGAGTTCATGGAGGTAGGCCTGGGCCCATTGGGGCTGTAGTGCCAAGGAAAAAAAAGTCACTAGAGAAAGAGTAACCAGTCAATAGCTGTCTATCTTTCATCGGAGTATTTGTGATACTGCCAATGGCAGTAAGGTTGAGATTGTAAATGGTGTGACTGTAAGAGCAAGTGTGAAATAAAATTCGCTATATCCAATATGGCATGAAGTTACTTGTCGTGTTATACACCCAACACGTGACAATATTATCACAAACTACTTTCTTTTATAATAGAACTATCTGCTTCAATCCACTGCGCTGCTTGGAAGTATTCCAATATGGGATTACAGTACAACCAAACCATAACCTCACATTCTTCTATATCATTAAGCTGACACCAACAACATATGTTAAAATACATTCAAACAAAAAAAAAGGCATTACCAATAATTAATAATGTTGGAAGGATGCCAGTTATGCTTGCTGCCTCCAGCTCAGTCTTGTAAATAACAGGAACAAAATTTGGTGGCTCTATTAACATCTCAATCTGTGCATTTTCTAGATTTCGCTCAAATGAATCCACACTCCCAATATTAAACCAAAGCACACTCTGAAATCAGAATTATTAAGGAAAATGTACAGCAGTGACTAAGTGATTCAAAGTAGCAACATAAAATAAGACACTGTTGTATTAATCATATGAATCATAGGCAAGAACAAATTTTCCAAACCCCAATCTCTTTAAGCAAAAGGGTACTGAAACTTCATATCCCCCTAAAAATAAGTATAACTGTCTAATAATGCAAATTATGTCCTAATAAGCACTCTAATAACTATCAACTAAAATTTTCTTATAAATAAAAAACTTCCTGCATTCTGATGCTTCTGGCTCATGGTCACTCTAAGTACAAATAACCGAGCAAATTAATTAACACATCAGTAATATAATTTTCCTCTGTGGGAGGGGGATTTAGGTTATAGAAAGAAGGTAAAGCTATCCCTGTAACAGGAGGCCCATAGTGTTGTGAGACATCGAAGCTCCCACACTTACCAGGCAATTGGCTCACAGATGACAGGTTTCAGCCTTATATGCCGGCCACACTTCAGCCCCAGGAAGATTCCTGGTACTCAATTCTGTTAGAGGCTGAGTCAACCCCAGGGTCATGGTGGGACTAGGATTATGTCTACTGAAAAATCCGATGACCTCATTAGGAATTGAACCCACAACCTTCTGGCTTGTAGCATAGTGCCTCAAACATCTAGGCCATATACCATCAAGTGATCACATGGTAGAATGACAGATTAATTGGAAATAATTTGGAAGTCATTCATGTGGTTGCATTCTAAGGGTTTCTGTAGAACCAACACTCTACAAGCACCTGTTTCTGCTAAGACATGTATCTTAGGCTTCATACTACCCTTAATTTATATGTCTCTATGATACAGTACAACCTGTCTAAAACTGAAGTCTTTATCAAAAAATTCTTCTCATCCCAAGAATGCGAAGTGAAAATAAATGCAAAGCTACCTGGAATCAACAAAAACCACTGAAACGTAAAACAAGAATTTAATGAAAAACTGCACCTGAAAATTTACTGCCTTACAATTTTGTAAGATTTTGCTCAGAAAGAATGAAACACTCCTGTCACAAATGGGGAAGAATTACATTGGCTGTTGAACAAATACTTTAATGATTAGAGAATGAAGAAAGATAAAACAAAGAGTAAGAATGAGAAGGAGAAAAAAAGAAAGGAAAAGAAATCAGCAAATACATGAAACAAGACTCACCGAGCCATCAACAGTGTTCCCTGACGCGAGGTGTACTCTCACCCATTTCTTGTTCACTACTTCCAGTTTCTCCACAATACCTTTAGCCAGGTAACTGAAAGAGCATTAACAATGTTGCAGAAAAATACTTCATTTAAGAACAAGGGTTATTGTATAATTCAAATACAATGTGAACTATCTAGCGCCCAATCAGTCTTTCTGTATCTAGAAGACTATTTGCTGTATTGTTTCCCACTTAAGAAATTCAAATTGTTCAGTCCCAAAAGCTTCCTAAGAGCAATCATGCTTAATACTTCCTACATAAGTAGAATTCATGTCCAGAAAATTCCGTTTATTAGAATATCATCAATTACTGTAGAGACATGGAAAAATAATATTAAAACTTCAGAATATGAGATATTACCTTTGGTAAATGGAAACATCAATATCTAGAACTATTATTTTGGACATTCATGGTCTCAAGTTTCTTCAAACCACAATGTTTTGGAAATTGCTTCCTCCACCAGCAGGTACAAGGGGGGAAAAGGTTACTATCACACTGCACCCATTAGCAAGAGCTAGTCTCGCAACTGGCGTGCAAAACATTTCATTTATATGAATAACATAAAGCCTGACCACATCTGTGGTCTAGTGGTCAGAGTTCCTGGCTGCACATACAGAGATCTGGGTTCGATTCCCGGCACTCCCATATTTTCTGATTAATAGTGGGTCTGGAACAGGGTCCACTCAGCACTAACTTCACCAACAAGCGGCTGTTGTTCATTCGGTATAGTTCGCTTGTGGACTAGAACTGGTATTTTTGTTTTTTGTTTGAATAACATAAAGCAAATTATGCTAGGCACTGACATTAAATAAATGTAAATGTATGCTTACTTATTTACAAACTCCTTCCATGCAATTTCCTTATATCCCATCTCATAATAGGCAAGGGTACCTAAAAGTACCAAGGTGCCAACCAGGCCAATAATTATCCACTTCTCTTTCTCCCCTCCTTCTTTACCTCCTGGTCTACCAAACCTGAAATAAACATACATATTTACTCATTTCTGCATATAATACATGTAGAACACAATGTAAATACCACACTATAATCACTTCTCAAAATTTCACACTGCTGACCAACGAACAAAATTTTTCAAATTAAGTAGTTAACATACTCACAGATATTGTGGTGTTTTAGCTCTGAGTGATGCGACACTTAACTTCATGCTGGTCTTGGATCTTGCAAATTCATTGCACACTTTTATCCACACTTACATAACTCACAACTTCAGTATCCAAAATACTTCTCCTGCTGTAGGCACTTCCAGGCTTCAACTGTCTTCATTCTATACATCAACACACTTCAACACATGTACACCACTGAACTGCAGTACGCAAAATTTGTCTTCATCCTATTCACTCGATACAACTCAACTGCTAGACTTCAACTCAATCTGAATACTGACTGAATAGTGTTCACTGCTCCTTATATAGGCTCAGCACAGACCACATACAAAACACACTGCTGCTTGGCAACAGATATCAGGTATTGTTGTCAGGCATAGACCTCATAGAAAACACACTGCTGCCTGGCAACAGATATCAGGTATTGTTGTCAGGGAGTGTTTACCGAGTGTCGCACAGCAACAGGATGAGTGCGGGTATGTAACGTCACTCTCACTTCCTGTTGCGCCATCCAAGCATTCGCAGAGTTGTCGCCTAGCAATGCACCAATACAATCCACAACTCTCACGTTGCGCGTGTGCCCCAAGGCCTCTGTGGCTCAACAGTTCCTGCATAGAGCCAATACGCCACACTGCTCCTTCCTTAAGGCTGTTCATCCCGAATAGCCTAACGGTGCATCCCCGTTCCTTTTCTTCCCATTGTTTCTGCGGATTCCTACTAGCAACGTCTACATTCAGTCTCTCCAGCTCTCCTTTGCAGTTTATTCTACCCCATCCGGCCCCTCCTTCAAGGGTGGTTGTCCTGAGCAGCTCCGTGGTAGGGCCCAAGCAGGTCCAGTCATTCTCATGTACTTGTCATCTTTCATTCTCCATTCATGCCAGGGAAGCTGGTGATTCTACATTACCGGTTCCTCCTCTACTCGCAGTCCCTTTTTCCGTTTTGGAGGGGGTTGACCCCTCCACAAGGTCTAATCCATGTTTTCTCGCTCTGGAGGATGCAGATACCTCCACAGCGTTGAGTCTCCCACCTTCCGATGTCCTCTCGACCTTAAGGCGCATATGCTGTATTGTACATGGGTTCTTTATTTGTTAGCCGCAGTTTCCTGACAAAGTTTTCCTTGCCCTGTGACACTCCTGCATGGCTGGTCAGCTTTCTGTCAATGGCCAATTCGTGCTGCAGTCCACACTTTCCCTAGATCAAAACTTTCCTGAAGATCTTCCTCTTGCGCCATGTCACTGTTGCACAGCAGGACACCTTCCTGCAGGCGGCAGCCAACTTCCTCCGGGATCCACAAATTCCTTGGGTCAGTTCCTTTGGCTCTTCGCATCGCTCTGCAACTTGCTTCTTGCTCCTATGCCTCCTCTTCCATTCTTTGACCGGTTGCACAATGGCATCTTCCTTGGGGACTTCTAGATGCTCTACCACCTCAAGTTTCCTGTCCAGTTAGGTCAGCTTTTCCTCTTTTTCATCTAGGCGCGCCATCATCGTTTCTCGGCAGGCCATCGTCTCTTTTCGGGTAATCGGCATCATTTCTTCAATTATCCTCTTTAGATTCTCCTGTAGATGTTCCTCGCCAGATTTCATGTTCCGTGTCCATTCTTGCCAGCATTTCTTCTTTGTCGGTCTTCCCCTTTTTCTGCATGGCCTGCAAAGCAGCGTGACTTAGTATGGTTGGCATCTGCCTTTTCCTGCATGGACTCCATCCTGGTCAGCAGGAGTCCCAACACTTGCTGTGTGTCCATTTTTTTGGCAGGATAACACTCTACATACTTGTGAATTCAATAATTCTTCCTAAATTGTGGTGTGTTTAAGTTCAAATCTCACTTCTGTAACATCAGTTGTCATGTGTTGGCCATGTGTGACGTGACAAATAACTTCACGCCAGTCTTGGATCTAGCAAATTTATTGCACACTTTTATCCACACTTACATAACTCACAACTTCTATATCCCAATTACTTACCCTGCTGTATTCACTTCCAGGCTTCAACTGTCTTGATTCCATTCACTCGATACAACTCAACAACTGATAACTGCTAGACTTCAACTCAATCTGAATACTAGCTGAAAGTCAAAATCAATCGCATATTAAGACTGACGGTCAGTCAGTCAGTCAGTAAATCTTGGTGTTGAGCCCCAGACCAGATATTTATCACTCTTTGACAGGTACAGTCTTCTTTTTTTGGGGCGCCCTCTCTGACGAGAGGACGGATTTGTCTTTTGTATATGTTGCTGGCCTTGCCAGCACAGTCTTTCTCGTGTCCAAGTCCCTTGGGACTCATNACAAAACAACGTGTATCGTTTAGATAATGACCATGTCAACCATTACGCATTGAGGGAAATATATATACACAGATACATTCATACTCTGCACAAAGCCTGTGTGGAGGCGGGGTCGAATACCTCCACCGTGATCCTGCAAGACGTAGGAGACAATGAAAAGGGAAGTCTCAAATCTGAGACAGTAAAATATGGTTGCAAGTCCCAAGACCCGAGAAAGACTGCGCTGGCAAGGGCCAGCAGCATATACAAAAGACAGACCCGCCCCTCATCAGAAAGGGCACTTCACAGAAACAAGACTGTAACTGTCAAATTGTAATTTATTGGTAATGGTAATAATTAATATCTAGTCATGAGCCCCATTACTGACTGACTGACCATCCGTCGCAATGTGACTTTGACTTTACTGGCTGAATAGTGCTTGCTGCTCCTTATATAGGCTCGGCATGGACCACATAGAAAACACATTGCTGCTTGGCAACAGATATCAGGTATTGTTGTCAGGCGTGTTTACCAAGCGTCGTGCAGCAACGGGATGAGTAGGAGCATGTGATGTCACTCTCACTTCCTGTTGTGCCATCCAAGGGTTCACAGAGTTGTCGCGTAGCAATGCGTCAGTACAATCCATAATTCTCACGTTGCGTGCCTGCCCCAAGGCCTCTGCGGCTCAACAGTTCTTGCATGGAGCCAATACGCCACAATAGTGTCACGATTTAGTGACCAGACATGGGGTTTGGATTGGTAATTAGATTTAAATGAACATTTAGAACTTGTAACTACATGCAGCTGTGACAGTTTCATGGGTCTACACTCTCTACAAATCACTGCACTGCAGCAAACATATAGTCTTCTACATCTTCACCTGTCTATCAAGTGTAGGTTCCTTAGCTCCCTTACTCATGTCTTTACCAGCTGGTGACTTTCTTGCTCCTCCTTATAGCCGCAACTGCCTGGCTTCTGTCTGGTAAACTGCTGCAGGCCCTTGGACAGTAAGTCAGTCACACTGCTTCTGGCCTTTGCAAGCACAATCATTTTTGGCTTAAGTCTCCTAAAGATGCATGAACAAGATTTTTATTCTGACCCAAACATGTAAATGTTTCAAAATGGGGCCTCCTCTTCAATGAAGGTGGGGTTGGTCTTCCTATGTAGGTTCTACATTTATTGCACTGTGGATTCAGCATGAGTATATCCTCGCTGTCATGGTGTCCAGGTCACTATGGGCTCTGTGCACCCTTTGTCACTGCACTATACTAAATATCACTTATACGAGGTATAGAGAGGTTTCTTGTCAATGCAGGCTTGTGTAGCAGGTTATGTCTTAACTTATGTAACTGCTCCAAAACTGCATTTAATCAGCTGAATGGTCACAGGCCTGACTGCCTCCAAGTTTAAGCCTCTTATACTTCCTATGCCTGGCTTCTCCTTGTCAAATATCACATACAAGGGGCAGTCAAATGAAAACAGGTCACCACGCATAACTCACATGGCGCGCAAGTTGGAATTTGATTATGGTACAAACATCTGGTAGGGACTCGGGAAAGCACAGTGACAAAGTGCCCTTGCATACTAGTCGTTTGTTTATTGTGGTTGTTCAACATCAGTAATGGAGGCAGGTAAAGGAGAACAGCGAAGTGCAGTGCGCTTTTTGACTACTGAAGGAGTAGGAGGACGAGAAATTCATCGTCACATGTCTGCTGTTTACGATGAACACAGCATGTCACGTTCGCTTGTGCTGGCGTGGCATAAGATATTCCAAGAGGGACGTGTATCACTGCAAGATGATGCTCGCCCAGGACAGGCTTATCATGTCATCATTCCTGATGTTATTGCTGCATTGGATGGTCATATCTGGGCAAACCGACGGATCACTGTGGAAGAAATTAGTCATTTGGTGGGAATAAGTCACAGTTCCATGCACGCCACTGTGACAAAACATCTGCTGTACCACAAAATCTGTGCGCAGTGGCTTCCACATCAACTCACGGAGGAATAGAAGACTCAGAGAATGGCTGCATCACTTGGTCGCTTATGACAATACCATGAGGAAGAGTATGCTTTTCTGTCCTGTATTGCCACTGGGGACAAAACTTGGTGCCACCATTTTGAACCTGAGAGCAAACGGCAGAGCCAACAGTGGAAACACGTGAATTTTCCCCACCAAAGAAATCCAAAGCCGTACACACAAGTTCCGGTAAAGTGATGATGACGTTCTTCTTCGACTGCAATGGCCATCTGCTTGTCGAATTTCTCGAGCATGGGGCCACAATCAGTGCACAGCGCTATGAAGACACTTTGCAGAGACTGAGATGTGCCATAAAGTCAGAACGCCCTGGAATGCTATCGAACGGCAGTATCCTTCTTCATGATAATGCGGGCTCCCACACTGCCAACTGTGTGAGGAATGCGCTACAGAGATTTGGTTGGGAAGTGCTTCAACATCCCCCCCCTACAGCCCAGATCTCTCCCCATGTGATTTTCACATTTTTGGAGACCTGAAGAGAGACATTCGTGGACATCGGTTTGCATCGGACGAAGACGTGTGTGGCTGGGTAAAGACGTGGTTCCTTAGACAGCCCACAAGCTTTTTAAGGATGGGACTGACCATCTTATCTCACAGTGGGATTAACGTATTAACAGTTTTGGAGATTACTTTTGAGATAAGAAATGTTTTGGCTTCTGACCCGTTTTCATTTGACTGCCCCTCATATATTTAATTTTACATGATTTAGGATTACTCCTACCTGTGTCCTGCATAATTTAGTTATATAGTCATACACGTAAGGGATTTTGAAAGCCACGTGCAATTTGCAAACTTGTGTGCACCCATCAAGCTTTCCAGTAGCACGGAGTACTCTGTTCTACAGGCACAGCAATTTCAAGAGGTCCGCCACATACTCCCAGGTGGGAGAAGCAGTCATAACTGACCTAATCACAGCTCTGTAAAGGATAAGTTTAATATTTGTACATAATGCCCACTTTTGAATAGAGAACAGGTCCTTACATACATGCGCAAGGCCTTGGCTACAGTCCTTTTGATATGGTGTCTCCATGACATCCTCCTGTTGAAAATGATATCAAGATGAATTACATTATTCTCCTACTCGTCCTCATTACATAGCCTCAGGCAGCAAAGAAAACATCATTTCTAACAGTTCTTCTACAGTTGCAAGTCTGTCACTTTCAACAGACTACATTGTGCTGTATCCCAGAAGATAGAACTCTTCATGACAATCACAGTGAGAACCTCATATCCTATAAATAAACCACTGTTCAGACAGTTATTAATAGATATAAGACTCCTCCAATCAAGAGATGTGTGGTCCATCAGAACTCAGAAGATATGGCAAATGCCATGTCCTCACTACTGCAATCTATAGAAAGTATATATGAATAAATAAATAACCTTTGAGAATTGAGGAATTATACCCCTTACCTAGACTGGCTACCAAAGATCCCAAATGACCACTGATCATATGGTTTGGAAGGAGCCGGTGGTTTAGAGGGCTGTGAACCGGCTGCTGCTTTAGATGGTGGAGGTGCCTGAGATTGCTTTGGAGCATCTTTTGCCTCTTTGGCGGAAGGCTTTGCAGATTTTGTAGCTTCTTTACTGCCTCCAGGCTTGAAAAACTTCTCAAACCCTTTTGGAGGTCGCTCACAAAACAGTCTCCATTCCTGCAAAACTGTTTCCAAATTTGGGGCTCCCGGTGCTCTCTGTAGTAACGTAAGATTCCTTTTAAGCTGCAACAAGCAATTTATTTGGTTTAACTTAAGATCTAAAAGTATGCAATAATGGTTTGTTAACACAATTATTTACTTTTTTGACATCATCAACCATACAGTTTTTTATTTAAAACAATATTTCAGAGACTGGACTCTGCCTCTAAAATAATGTTTTAAATTAAACAAAAGGGGATGATGGATAACATGTAACCGTTCATTACCTACTGGCGTAGATTTCAGAAATTAATATTTGTTACTTAGTACCAATTTTATACTAAATGTAACTTGTGCCCAGTCTTGTATTAACTGTTCCAAGCATTCGTGATGAGCAATTTGTAGGTAAGAGCTACTAGAAGGTTCTTTAATAGCTGGTGTGGTATGCAAATGACTACGCATCCCACTGCCAGTCTGATAAAAGAGACTTCCAGAATATTCCCAAATTATGAAGCAGTAGAAGAATCTTTGAGAATGATCTGGAAACAGAAGGTTCTGGATGTTACGTCATCTCACAGTATTTGAATGGGTTGATCCCTAGATGACAGGCACTCAGTAACTCATGGCAGTATTAGCCAATCAGTTGGGCAATCAGGAGTGGACGTGTAGATTCGATGAGACACCAGGCTGGAAGATTGATGTACATCTTCTACCGTACTGTAACGTAGTGTTATGAATGTTGAAATAGTGTACAGTGAGTGCCAAACGTGCAACTGTAATTGCAAGTGACTGCTGCTTGTGAGTGTGTAGTGCAGTGGTTCTCAAACTGTGGGGCGTAAAGGGCTTGAAAGGGGGGCGCAGCATACTTTCCTACAGATAAAATTAAAACTGTCCTAAATCAATTAGAAAAGTAGCAAAAAATAGAAATACACATAGAAAAACTTTTGATGAGTACAGGCTTTAATTATCATGAATTTGAGCCGTTCTAAGGTTTAGCTCGCTCACGTATGATGTCATCATGTTTCCCTTGACGGATTCCATCCCCACTATGCAGTATCCTGACGTCAGTCACGTGGTCCCATGTACCCTCTTGTGAAGGGGAGACTTGTACAGGGCAGTCGTGTAGACCAAGTTGACTTGGAAGGTCGGTTACTAGCCAGCAGGTTTGTTGTGGAAAATATTGGTTTCGGCTGGGTTTGTTCAAAATTCCCTTTTGGTGCTATCTGGCTGGCCGGTAAGGACTGCCCGCGGTCGCAAGCCGTTGCTTGAACGCTTGCGACGCGCGTTACTAGATTTGGTTTGGTATTTTTTTCAGAATTAGACTTGTGTTTGTATAGCCTGAGTGTTTAATGTCCTAAAATGACTAGTGTCGACACAAGTGGTGCCGACGGGAAATTGTTTTGTTCTAAATGAGCTTGCATTAGTTTCTTGGTCAAATGTGCCGTTTGTTATTTATGTATTGTTATATATTTTTATTAAAATTGTATTTGTTCTTATCTAAGCCAACGAACTGAGGGTAGCTTCCTCCTCCTAGCTGGGATACCCCATGTCCATCTCGGGGAGCGTGGGAACCAACAATAGGGCCAGTAACGATTGTACTGTGCCCTTCCTCTTCATAATAATAATAACCTAATAATAATCAGAAGGAGCCAGTGAAGACGAAGGGCGCAGTGCAAATTTCAAAATAACTAATAATTATTCTCTTTACCGGCAATTATAAAACGCGTATGCCAGAGACAGCATTGATAGTTCAGCAGTGGCCGCATCTTCTGAAATCCTCTGAAGTCTAGACTTTTTAAAATGCTATGTGAGGAAATGGGTGCCGAACACACTGCTCTGTTGTTTTTTAGTGATGCTTGATGGCTTTCATGAGGCAAGGTAGTAAAGAGAATGTTTAAGCTGAGGCATGAGGTGTTCTGTTTTTTAAATGGGGAAAATCACTCACTGGCAGACAGTTTCAGCAACAAGGACTTTTATTGAAAATGGCTTACCTCACAGATATATCTGAGAAACTAAATATCCTCAACACTTCACTTCAAGGGAATGAGGCAACTGTACTTTCTTGGAATGACAAAGTGAAGGTATTCATGAGAAAATTAGAGCTCTGGAGAAACAGTATGGAAAGTGACACGCTAGACATGTTCCCTACTCTGGTGTCAATGTTACAAGACACTGATAATCCAGTGCTTCCAATGGACATAAAAAGCTGCCTACTTGATCATCTCATAATGTTGAATGTTCATTTCAAAAAATACTTTTGCAATGATTTTGATAAATTTAATTGGATTAAAAATCCATTCGAAGTGCTCCTCGGCCATCATCTCTGAAGGTAAATGAGCAAGAACTCATCGATCTCACTAGTGATACTTCATTAAAAAGTAAATTTAAGGAATTGTCTTTGTTGGAGTTCTGGATACATTTTGGCAAGGAATTCCAAACTTTGAGCCAAAAAGCACTGAAAATCCTGATTCCTTTCGCAACAACTTACTTATGTGAGACAGGCTTTTATGCTTTGGCAGCTATAAAGTCAAAGTATCGTTCAAGGCTAAATACTGCTAAAGAAGTTAGAGTGGCCATTTCTGATATTACACCTCGTTTTGATAAACTGTTCTCAAAAGCAGGCCCATCCATTATACTGAACTTTGACATTTAAATGTTCGATTCTCTTTGCAGAAAAACATTAAATACTTGTTAGTTGAATATTGTTTCATTTCAATACATATTTTGGTTAATTGCAAGTGTTAAAACTAATTTTTATTGCAGGCCTAGTATTGTGATACTTTAATTTTGAGTAAGAAAACTGCTAAACAGTATGTAGAAAAACACAAAATAAACTGAATGAAACATCAAACATACCATGACTTCTATTTTGATAAAAAAGACAGGATGGGGACCTGAGAATATTTTCTCTTCTCAGGGAGGGCTCAGAGGTAAAAAGTTTGAGAACCACTGGTGTAGTGTTATCAATAGGGGAAGTGTAATGTTGTATCAACTATAAGTGTGGTTAAGCGACTTCTTCACCGAGAAAACCTCTTCTGTTGAAGCAAGGCCCATTAAGCCCTGAAAAGAATCTTATAACTCAAACCCAGGACATCGTCCTCCTCTTACTCCAAAGCACCTCGACGTGGTTCCCAGATAACGTAATGGCGCCCTATCAACTACGAAGGTGCGGAAGGACAGCTAACGCGGTGATTAGGCATTGCCCCCAATAAAGAACTCCCACAAGTAGCGTCCAATGCAAAACTTCAAACAACAAAGAACAGCTAAAAATGTTCAAAAAGTAAATAATCTGTTTAACTTATTACATATTATGACATGGCAGTGACATCAGACAAGGAAATGTTATATGCCAGAAGGAAAGAGATCACTAGGATGACGAACACATAGGTGGGTGAATAGATCTTACAGAGACAGCATGGGGTGTTATGAACTGGACTGATCCACCTCAGTATAGGGACCAGTAGAGGGCCCTTCTAAACATAATAATGACAGAAACAGCTCCTGAATCAGTTTTTGCATACACTTCTAATGAGAAATGGAAATTTATTATTATGTTGATACCATAATTCAATGATTATGAACTTTTAAAGTTTTCATAATAAAATGCTTGAGCACTTGCTCCTGAATATTACGGATACAGTTACTGAAATTATAACCAATCAAATCTAGGAATTATTTAAATAATTTGATGTCAGTCCTATATAATGCAATGGTAAAGGAAGTTCAATCACATTCATGAACTCTCTACTTAAATAATAATGGCGACTATCCTAACCTAATAAGCTGCATGTTCCTGAGACATGCTTAAGCTGCTGCCACACAAACCAAGTCGAATCAGATCTGACTCACTATGATGCTGTGAAGGCAGAAGACCCTTAGCTTCACATGGCTCAACATGATTCACGCAATGCGACAGGTATATAGAAATTCTACAAAAAAAAAAAATAAAATACAGCTACCTTTGTAGCAGTTTAACTTATTTTAATATTTTTCCATCTGCTTCATTCATAAATGCAGCTTCCAAATTAATTACCAATACGCTGGTTTATAGGTGTAGGTGTAGATTCAAATAGTACGAGCTGAACTGCCAATATTTTCATGAGTCTTGCTGCCTCTGTCTCTTGAACAAATCTCCATGGCCTTTAGTCCACAAGAGAACCATACTGACCAATCGACTGCTGCTTGTCAACAAAGTTAGTGCCAACTTTTGCAGACAGAGGGTGTGGCGTGGTCAGCACAACAGATTCCCAAGGCCGTTAATCTCGGTTTTCTAGACTGGAGACCCTACTTTTCCATTCAAGTAGCTCCTCAATTATCCTCACAAGGCTGAGTGGACCTTGTTCCAGACCACTACTTCTCAGAAAATTTGGGACCTCTGCATCTGTAGCCAGGAACTCTGACCACTAGACTACAGCAGCAGTTCTTGAACACATCTGCATGATACAATCACCCAGAAATGAGGTCAACATTATTATCACTACGGAACTATTAAACAAAAATGTTTATGAATGCTGAACCACTACCTTCAGAGAATTAAATACAGAAAATTTATAAAATACATCTGATTATCATCACAGTCTGCATTTCAGCAGTTTTGGATATGAGTTCTGACAAGGCTCTGAAACATATGAAAAATATCATTTCAGTAACTACAACTTAAGAAGTATAAATAACTAAATTCTTTGCCCTTCAAATTGTTCATAACCTAAACTGGAAAAGATATACTAAATATACTGTAGCATGCAAACCCATTGCTGGGTAACAGTCACAAAATGATACCTGTTGCTAGGGCAGTGGATTCTTAGTACACGGTGTTACATAATCTGTTGCTGTGTGATGTGAACACATTCCCATGGAAACGACTAGCATACAAGAGTGGTGTTTTCTATACCGTCTGTGCCAAAGAGTTATCTTGAAGACAATTGGAACGACCAAGCCAGTTCTTGCCGATCACGGTAGCCGAGCGGTCTAAGGCATGCACTGTTTTCGCTCGCTCGGAAGCCGGGATCGTGGGTTCGAATCCCACTCAGGGCATGGATGTTTGTGTGCGTTTTTCTGTGTTTGTCTACAGGTAGAGGCCTTGAGACGAGCTGATCACTCGCCCAAGGAGTCCTACCGTACGTGTAAGATCTAGTAAACTGAAGTGAAACGGAGAGTTTCATGGAGGTTGGCCTAGGCGCAAAATGGGGCTGTAGCGCCACAGGAAAAATAAAGCCAGTTGTTAGTTCAGTTGAATGCTGCACTGGAGGCTGTGAAGATAGAAACTGAGAGCGTGAAGCTGAAGAATCTCCACTGTTACAAGCTGCTGCCAGGAAAAAGCTGGGGAAGACAGACCAGGCTGGGAATAAGACTTAGCAGGTGCTGTGGCAATTTGTGAATTGTGGAGATTAACAGTGGCACTGTAAATTACTTGCACTTACAAGTCATGTGCATAAGTGGTCAATAAATCTATTCACCAATCCAAACCCCGTCTACAGTCACTCAAAATCTTGACATCTGGTGTCAGAAGTGGGACTGGATACCACACTGGATCTCGCTCATTACACTGCCACACTATGGACATGGCGTGAGTAATGGAACTCCTACTGGACACTGAAGAAAAGGTGGATTCTCACAATGAGAAGCTGATGACAATAATACTGGTAAGGAAAAGATAGAGGCCTCTCTGGAGAGTAAGGAGCCAATCTCAGTGAAGATAGTGTCCACAGCAGTGCATGAGGCCACAATGTAACCTGTCAGAGAACTGGAGAAGCAGCATGAGGACAGGCATCTAGCCATAGGGCACTGCCAAAAGCCAAAGAAATGGACCCAGGGTGATGGTGGATCCCAGAAGAAGTTGGTTGCCTCCTGCGGAAGGATGATCTGTCATGCCACTCTTTCACAGCATAAGGAACACTCCAGTCAGGGACAAGGCAAGGACAAGGCTGTACGAAGAACACAGAAAGAATTGACATTCGGGAACAGACATCAGGTAAAACCAGATAGCATCAATGGGATATGGGACCAAGACTTAAAGAAGCAGCTACATGTGAGGATGGATAGGACATCTGGCAGGATCTTCGGGAAAAACTATGGGGCTGGAGATCGTGAAGCAAACAGGATTCAAAAAATGAGTGAACATTGTGAAAGGGTAGGCCCCTCCAAAACAGAAAAAAAGAGACTTCACACAGAGTAAGAGCAATAGATGTTGGAGTACTGGCCACTCTCGGAACTTTGGCCCCACTGATCAGAAAACCAGGATGATGGTGATCACTCTGGACTCAAACCCTATGAGGGAACCACTTGGGACAAGCAGCCTTAAAGAGGGAGCAGCAGAAGCGACTGGAGAGTAATCACCGTGAAAACTGAGGTAAGGGAAGGAAGGTGAGACTGATTACAAACATCACAAGCACAGCCCTGGAAAGAGAAGAAACGATGGTATGCCTGTAGGCCTGGGGTCTCCAAACTTTTCGAACCGCGGGCCACATTAGGTAATTCAGCACTTTCAACGGGCCGGATAAAATGAGAAATTAATAACTCTAGGTATATGAGTTTTATTGAAAGCACAGAATTTCATAAACTAAATACAAAGTACATGAGAATAAATTATCGTATATTAATGACAACAGACAGTAGCAGCAAATGCTCATATTTTCATCACAAATTATAATAAAACAATTAATGTGAATGATGGAACTCTTTTTGCATTCTTAAAATCTGATTAAACTGAGGTTCAAATTTTGAAACGCTGATGACATGCAGCGACTTCAAATGTTCATCGGATAAATTTGCCCTGTATTTCGACTTGATGTACTTCATCTGGGAAAAAAGTTTGTTCACACAGATATGACGTCCCAAAAATGGAGATAAATTTACAAGCAAATTTCTTTAAATTTGGAAATTGCTCAGAGTTCAGAAATTTATAAAATTCGATCAAATTTCCTTCCCTGTATTTGTCTTTAATATGATAATTTTCCTGAAGTTCAATAATTTCCATTTGAATTTGACTTGGGACATCTGCAGCATCACAGTCAAACGGATTTTGAAACAATCTAATTTCCTGAGCACTGGAATCCAAATCAGCAAATCGCTTCCGAAATTGTTCTTTCAAATCTGAAATGACTAAATTTGCAAACGAGGAAGGAAATTCTGCTTCGCCCTTTTTATGCAACTCTGCACAGTATAGCATATGAACAAAGTTACAATTTTTCACTTGGCTTTCCAGAAGTATCAACTTTGCTCTGAATGCCTTGATAAGCGCAAATAAATCACAGACTAAGTTATTTTCACCCTGCAACTTTAAATTCAAATGGTTCATATGGTTCACCAGATCAGCAAAACTGCTAATTTCCAAAGCCACTTGGTATCTGATAAAAGTGGTTCGTGATGGTTTTTCTTGGTAAGAAATATATCAATTTCATTCCTGAGCTGAAAGAAGTGCGAAAGAACCTTTCCACAGCTAAGCCATCGAACTGCAATATAATATGTCAGGTCAATAAGCTCAGAATCACATTTACCAGTACTCACTGGAAAATTAGTTCAATTGGCGCATTTCTGCACAATTCTTTTGCGGGCCGGATAAAATCACATCACTGGCCACATGTGGCCCGTAGTTTGGAGACCCTTGCTGTAGGCCATTCAGGACAAATAGCCTTAGAAGGGATCAATGTGGCATATAGACCCTTTGCTAAGCAGTGACTCTGTAAACAGTGACTGTTTCTGGGCAACGGTTATGTGAACATGTTCCTTTTGCTAGTCAGCAGATTCTTAATAATGCAACAGTTGGATTACAACAATGGAAATGAACTGATATATTGGGTTTCTGGACTTTATCCATCGTCCTAGCTTTTTAAGATAACAAAAACACGACGTTTTGGAAACTGGATCTGTTTCCGTCCTCAGGTGAAGGAAAAGGGGAACACCTATTCTGTTGGGTCCGTTAGAAAGCGCTAGCCTCAATCACTGGACAGTGGGTCCAGTGATTGTTGGGTCCGTTAGAAAGAGCTAGCCTCAATCACTGGACAGTGGGTCCAGTGATTGAGGCTAGCTCTTTCTAACGGACCCAACAGAATAGGTGTTCCCCTTTTCCTTCACCTGAGGACGGAAACAGATCCAGTTTCCGAAACGTCGTGTTTTTGTTATCTTAAAAAGCTAGGACGATAGATAAAGTCCAGAAACCCAATATATCAGTGTGTTATACACCATCGTCAGAATCCTATAGTAACTAAATGGAAATGAAGTGTTTCTATCTGGTCCATGGCGAGATTTTATAAGAAAATCAGTTATCAGTCAAGAATCAGTTCTGCATGGGAAGTCATGAGATGGTGGCCAACCAGCTATGGCATGAGCGCAGAAGCTGAAGAATCTCCACTGTTAGAAGCCGTTATTATGAAATGACTAATGAAGACTGTAACAAACAGACTGAGAACACTAGTGAGCGTGTGTGTATGGTGCTATAATTAAGTGTAGTCATGACTCATGTGTTAAATAAATCAAACCACCAATGTAACAAACAGACTGAGAACACTGGTGTGTGTGTGTGTGTGTGTGTATGGTGCTATACTTAAGTGTAGTCATGAAATGAAATAAATCAAGCCACCAATTCAAACCCCACCTAGAGTCACTCAAAATCGTGATATTATCCCTAAACTAAGTTCACTATGCCTTGCTTGATGACAGTCGTATCACTCATGAAACCAGAAACTCTGAAATGAGTTTATTTCATTTCCTTTAATTTCCTCATGTCATATGGAATAACTTCCTGGGAAAACTCAACAGACTGCACAAAAATATTCTGCCACCAAAATAAATTATCAGAATAATGGCAGATGTTAAAAGAGGTGCCCTTGTAAGAACTGTTTAAAAAATTTAATATTGTTCCACTAGTCAATGAATTTTCTTATTACTATTATTTGTTGCATAAAAAAGGAAATTTTAAAAGAAATTCAAATGCATACAAGTATAATATACAGATACAACCTACCTGAGCCAACCACTAACCTCAGTAAATATCAGTAAGGAGTTCAGTATACTGGAATCCATTCCGTATTCTTGCTCCCACAAACATTTCGATCACGATATAAAACTATTTAAGCCAGCACTAAAAAATGCCTCCTATTCCTGGCCTTACCGGGACTCGAATTCCGACCCTCGGTCGTCCAACCCATAGCCAATCGTTACACAGACTGCGATATACCGGCTCCTCTTATAGTAGTTCTATAACCTCTACAAATCGTTCGTTGGGTGCGTATGAAAATAATATAAATATATTTACCAAACTTGTATCAATATTTCCTCGTTTCACCCCGTTCCACAGCAAACGCTCCAGTTTCCTTACTGTAGACAACAACCTGTGCGCCATCGTCTTTCTGATGAAACAATATTCATATATGACTTAACACAAACATTCACATCACCTGAACCACACAGGCCTGCCCGTAATCAACGTCGTCGTTATCGTTATCATGAACCATGAAGATCATGAACACAGAATAACCTTCTTTCTGATCGGAATTCAGAAAGGCCAACACAACGGGAACTTACAATGCAGTCAAATAATTTTCTGTGCGCTACATTTCTGAAAGCACGGAACGGAAGTACGAATTTTGTTACTCAACTGTTTTATGATTCAAATAATGGAAATAAGGTTAGTTTGGGTTTACCGGTAGCTTCTATAAGAATCACTGCTGTAATGTAGTGTTATATCCGTGTTTGACATTATATCAGATGTAGAAGGTCGTCGACTTAACAGTGAGGCCCATTTAATATCCTTTATATAGTGGAACGTAGTACCGTTGAAAACAGACCGGTGCCACTGAAGAAGAATGGTGGGCTTGCAGGAAATATTTCAGTTTATCATACTCTCCTTTGATATTTTGAGTAAAGTAACATACATTGGTTTAATTATTAGTAGCACAATTGGGCAGCTTATTGTGAAATACGTACTGATGTGTTTCACATTTATTTACACTGCTACACAAACAATATTTCATGTTGCAAAAGTGCTGTATGAAGATTACTGCATTTTTCTGTTGGATGTAATGAACAAAGGCGTGTATGTTGCAAGTGCTATAGTATGGGTAGTAGGCTGGCTTATAAACCTCACATACAGTTGCTGGGAAATTATAAAGGGCACCTGTTCGGAAATTTACGAATTCCTGCTATTAACCATGGACACAGTATTTATAATTGTGATGAAAGCAATACATTGTATCTCAAACATTCCAGAAGCGTTGAAGAATTTCATTACATTGGTTGGATCTGGGATCTGGTTAGCATTGAAGCTCATCCCACTTGGGTTTGTGTATACCATTAGCATGTGTATATTTCTTGTCGGACGAAGTTGTGAGGAAGTAATATCTATAGTAGAAGCTATATATAGAGGAATCTTCTTTGTTTTATATGGTCTTGTTCAGTTCTTATGTGATATACCTTTTGAGGCACATGCTGGTTTAATACTGGGGACATGTATACTGTACCTTAGTATGAAGTATCGTACTCACTTAATACACTATTTTGCAAACCTCTGTGTTCAAATAATACACTGTTGTGCAAACCTCTGTGTTCAAATGAAGTATGTATTGAACCGTACATGGACTAGTTTGGAAATGCTGCTGCTCTCAGTGTTTACTAATCAGAACAATGAACTTGGGAATGGAGAATATTCAGAAAGTGAAGAATTAAATGATGAAACTCAAGATGATAATAGTCAGAGACAAGAACCATCAGAGAGTTCTACATTACATTTGCGTTCCCGCCTTGTGTCAAGAGTTCAACAAGGGAAAACTGACATTACAAGACAGCATTTGCTTTATCAATTAGAACAGGAACAAGAAAGTAAGCTATGTATCGTGTGTCAGGACAGAAACAAATGTGTCATTATATTACCATGTCGGCATCTCTGTTTATGCATGGAATGCTGCAGCATTATACAGAGGGAACATAGATCATGTCCAGTATGTCGACAGAATGTAGGAAGAACAATGAAAGTCTATGTTTAAAGAGAAAAGACTTTCTCTTTCTGAGATATGTCTTGTTCATATAAGAATGTTTCTTATACTGTGTTCTGTTACATTTAATAACATAAATCCATATATAACACACATCTTTGCTTTAGTTCATGTTAGTAATTAATGTTTTGTAAGTATAATAATTGTCATTCTGCTTTCCAGAAGTCTGTGATATTTTTGTAATTTATGTAATTATATAAAGTTTTGAGATGTTCATAAAAGTACACTTAACTTTCAAAATCTGTAGTAACTGATCAAAATTCAAGTACAAATTAAACCTTAATATATTTATTTGTAGTTTATTTATAAACCTGTCAATAACTTGTCACCTACAATGCCAGCCCTTACTGAAAATATTTCAGCGCATTATCATGAGAGAGAGATACCTACAATGAAACTGATAAGATAATACTTAGTACTTTAATATACTCTTTTTTGCAGCTTCTATAAAGCAGGAACCTGTACTGTGTAGTAAAGGCTGTTTTTTATATATAAAAATGTTTCCTGCACTAAAAAGACAGAATAATACAAACCTTAGAATTTTGCACACTTCTGTTAGTTTTATTCATATCAGGAAATTATAAATACAAAGGGTAAGGTGGCCTTTAATGGCATGACATTTACACCAAGTTTCATAAAAATCTGCTTATTGATTCAAAAGTTTTTACAAGGGGCAGAAACAGTAAAACATGAAAAGACACCACATGCCTATTCATCATTAAGGTGAGGTAAGCATGTTGGAAAGTGTTACTGTTTTGTCTATGTCTTAGAATGGGAACAAATTTATTATGTAAACAGATGAAGTTGGGTCACCTTGTGTATCACAGAATGGCAAACAACTTCAAAGATGAAAGATGAAGAGGTCTGTCTTCTGGGATATAAAAGTCAAGTCCACTGAAAGTCGACTGACATTCCAGAGAAACACGTTGCCTCATCTTCATGGCTGAAGGGTAAGCCACGTATGAAACAAACATGAAGCAGGCAGTAATTTTTTTAATGCTAGTGGGGTGGGACTAAGTCCGTTGTACTGCAGCCACATCTGGCTTATTGTACCACCCCCAGATGATAGGTGAGGGTGATCGTGGAGCAATTGGTGGAATGAAGATTGGCAGGGGAAACTGAAGTACTCGGAAAAAACCTGCCTCAGCGCTACTTTGTCCACCACAAATCCCACTTGACCAGACCTGGGATTGAACCTGGGCTGCCATGGTGGGAAGCCAGCGACTAACCGCTTGAGCTATGGCGTGGCCTCACAAGCAGGCAGTAAGTAAAACTTCCTTTGAGAATCTCAAATCCAACAAAATTTCAAAGGAGATTGAAAAGTGACCAACATTTGCTAAACTCAGCAGATATATGAGGGTACAATGCATGACTATACATGCTCATGCAACATTTGAAACCCTTTCATACTTACATTAACCTTTATGAGTTGAAGGACATCGTATGGGGATCTTTAAATTAAAGCCGAGTTGCCGAAAGACACCGTATGGGTATGCACAGTCCATGCGTGCACACAGTGTTTTAAAATCTAATTTTAAGATAGAAATTCTTGTTCTACTTACATTATTTTTGGACACCAGCTTTATAAGTAGACTGTCTTCCCTCCTGCATCATCTGACTGAATGTTGCATGTCACTGAATGCAGAGTCCGACATCGCAATTCATGCATTTTTTTCATAATTAACTCTGTTTTCCACGTGAAGCGCACACACGCAAATATCAGTCTCGTATTACCAGGAAGTAGGTCAGTGATGGCGAGTGGTCTCCTGTATTCATAACGCTTATAAAACATCGCAATTTCAGCTATGCACCATGGCCCCTTTTCGCATTGAAAAAGCTGAAATTGAGAAGCTGCTCGTAAATCAAACCATTCACAATGTGGTACACAAGACTGAAAGCACGTAGAAGAAAGGGGCCATGTGCGGGGCTTTCTACATTACTTTGGACACCAGCTTTATAAGTAGACTGTCTTCCCTCCTGCATCATCTAACTGAATGCAGAGTCCGACGTCACAATTCATGCACTTTGTCTGCATGTAACTCTGTTTTCCACGCGAAGTGCACACACGCAACATCTGTCTCGTATTAGCAGGAAGTCAGCCAATGTTGCCAATTTGCCTTCTCTAATCATAATGCTTATAAAACATCGCAATTTCAACTATCCCCCATGGCCCCATTTCGCATGGAAGAAGCCGAAGTTAATAGGCTGCTTCAGAATGTGGTACACAAGACTGAAAGTACGTAGAAGAAGGGGCCATGTGTGGGCCTTTCTAAGAAGCTTAACAGTACTTCCTGTGTGGCAGATACGTGTATACACAGACAGAGATACTGAGGGATGTGACCTCACTCATGTATACAGAAAGGTTGGAGTGCTATAAAAGCATAAACATTTCCTCCCCTTTGGCCAGATAAGCCAGTAACAGTATGAATGATGTCAGCACCAGGCATTTATACTGCAGAAACTGACTGGTGGACAGACGCTCAAATTTGGGGAAAATTTTTTTTTTGGAATCAGTGTAACAATTTTTACAGATTCTAAAATCTGTAAATTACAATATCTGATTCTATATTCTTTCTAGATAAAAGCAGCGTTTATTTCGTTCGTTTATCACAAAAATTGTAGAAATCACAGCATTTTAAGTAACATGATTACAATTTTTATTACTCTACAATGGCGGGCATTTAAATTAACTCCGGCCCGCTACCATTACCGGAATTTAAATGGCCCGTCCCTTAAAGGTTAAGGACTGATGTCCACTTTCTATCTTTGGTTCAGCTACAGGGCAGTGAATGATAAATAGGTTGCACAGCATGGTTTCTTCTACAAAATTAAATTTTTGTACATTGTGATGTGGCACCAAAAACATTCACCATAGAAGGTCCAGTTTGCACAGAATAATGGGATGTTCAGTATTCCAAGTTTTATCACTTCACTCTTATTGATCCATGAAATGCAGTCCCACCAAACCTGGCAACTTGGGTACATTTCTTATAACAATGTTCTTTCGGTTTCAAGACCTCTGCTACTTGTAAAGTGTGAAAACTGCCACATCTGAGAAAGATCCAGGAGGCAAAATTAATTATACCTTACAATAAATTTGGTTATTTTATAGCATCTTATCAAATTCCAAGGTCTGTAATGTCAAACATAGTATGACAGGACTGTGCATGAGGTACTAAGAGGAGTCCATGATTTATTCCAGCCGTCTTACAGTGCATACACTCATCCACCTCACTCTTCACTCCTGCACTACATGTTTCGGCACAAAGGTGCCATCTTCAGGTGCTTTTCGATTTACGTTAAACTACTTCACTGCATGCCTTGCC